TGATGATAATTTTGAATTTGCATAGCGGGACTAAATTGTCGGGCTGGCTACGCCACTGACTCTCACTGAGTGTGCATCCACACTGGGCAAGCTGAAAAGTTAGCTCGGCCACGGTCACAGGTTCGATTCCCACTGTGGCCAAGCTAACTTGCCCAGTGTGGATGCACACTCACAGTAACATCACAAACATCATATATTCACCTGAGTACATAACACCAACACACACAAAATAAAAATTATGATTGATTGACAATGAATTTGCGATTTTTGGTTGTTTGCACACACAAAGCAAGAAATACAAAATTCAAAGGCTTTCACTCATTTAGTGTAAGCATGCAATTGAACTAACATCATCCAAATGAATACAACCTTTCTGGTAAAGGGTGTTTAAAATAGAAGTGCATAATTGACCCAAAATTCATTGTCCCAAAATCTTGCTATTGCCAAGCTAGGATTTTCCATATAAATTATATACAATCACCCACGATTTGGCACGGTATTACCCCTGGGCCCAGCTGGGTAAAAGATCTCTGTGATTGTTTTTGTCAGTTTATACATTTTGAGACTGTCTGCAAATGTATGAGTGATTGATCACTTGTTGGTTCACTTTATTGGGAAATGTGCTTGTACTATATAACTCAGTCTGGGTGATTTGTTTTGGCAAGCCTGCCCATCTAAAGAGGCTCATGTAACCAGACATTCATCCAGGGAAAGCGAGCTATAGCCAGGTTACCTGGGCGTCTCGCCTCTATATAAGCAGCCCCTTACACATGTTTTAGGCTGACTGATAGCCGATAGAAGGGCTACCATAGCAAGCACAAGCCATACACTGGGTAATATTAGATGGGCTATTGCGAATTGCGGTCGTTTCGCCAACGAGTCGTTTCGCCAACTGTCAGTTCGCCAACGTCTCGGGTCGATTCGCCAACGTTTCCTCACGTTCTTATGTCAGTTCGCCAACGTTACATAGTTCATACATGGATATATAAATCTATTAATGTTTGTAGAGAATAACCGAAATAGCGAATTCTCCCGATATTTACTTTTAGACGGTGTAAAACAGGTTTAATCAGCGGACGCTAAACAAGTAATTTTTCGTAGGGCCTTAAACTCACGAAATGTGAAAGTTTTTATGCATATGATATACCATTCAAGTAACACAACTGAAGAGTTTTCAAACAGCAATACGAAGATTAACTATACTCTGCACTAACAAAATTCCACAATAGAGCATAGAACAATAACCAAGGTTAGACACGGCTGGTGACGCTTTTGATCGCCAACGTTTCAACATATTTTCTACAAACATTGTTTGTGTTTCATGGTTTCACATTATAAAGACGTGAACTATTAAATGACCATGGATTGTAAAATAATTGTAAACCATGGATTGTTTATTTTACAATCCATGATTAAACGTTGCGTTGGCGAACTGACATAAGAACGCGAGGAAACGTTGGCGAATCGACCCGAGACGTTGGCGAACTAACAGTTGGCGAAACGACTCGTTGGCGAAACGACCGGTTACCGCTATTGTAATGCTGTCAAATGTGACTGCATTTCAAACAGATCACATATATATTAATTAAAGTATACATATTTAACACGAAATACAACATACATGTATATCACACAAATAAAGCCCCGTTTACACGAGCATTTTTATTTGACAAATTTCATATGTCAGAGATATTTTGCTCGTGTAGATGATAAATTTGTGACAAATTTATTTGTCAATGAACAACGAATGCTTTTGATGAAATGAAATTTGTCAAATAAAATTTGCTCGTGTAAACGGGGCTAACAACACATATAAATAGAGACTGTAGATTAGACTTATGGACTTCTGCTAATACAAATTAATCGAAAGTTAAAACTGAACGTCTAGATCGGCAAATCGGCGGCGAAGCGACTAAAATACAGGCCTTCGTCTTCGATTTAAAAATATAACTATACAGTATATCAAGTAATTTTCCGCACACAAATAAGTAAATACACAATAAACATACCTTTGAAAACAAATTCCATGTATCTTATTAGGTCTTTGCAACTTTATAAGTAGAAAATTTGAATAAATATCATTCACATTTGAATGTTTGCTCCCGAAGGTTGAACTTGGCGCTTGGTCTTTGTGTGAACCAGATCGAATTACTACAACACGTGATATATTCGAAACATGCTATTGGTTGAAAATCTGGAACTTCCACTTGTCGCAAATTATATTCAGCAGAATTCAGCAGCAGAACATTCCACACGCTCCAATTACAGATTTAGGCAGCAAATAAAAAAATATAGATGACTCGCTGACAATTTCTGGCTACATTCGATCGCCGCGTGTGACGGAAGCCGATATACAGTATAATACATCAATGGCATCAATCTGACTTAGCAACATTCGAGTAACCAAAAAAGGAAAATTAAAAAAAAAGACTTTATATCTCGAACTTCGTGCTTTTCGCATCTGACTGTATTCAATACTTTAATAGAGTATAGCCTCCAGCAGAAAAACTCTTGGATTCTCAGGCACATTAATTATATATTGCAATAATTTACTCCAGGTCCAGAACAATTTTACTCTTTTTTGGGAGTTGAAACGACCCCTGGAGTAAAATTAAGGAGTACAAATTACTCCATAATTTCTACTCCTAAAAGCGAGTTTAGTTTACTCCTCCAGCGGAGTTAAATTGACTCCTGATGGAGTAAATTGTAGAATGCGCGCCGAAGTGGAGTAGTTTTAACTCTATTTTGGGAGTAGATTTTACTCCACAATTTTTACTCTCCCGAGTTGAGTAGTTTTAACTCCTATGGTGGAGTTAAAATAACTCCTTGAAATTAACAGTGTAGTTATATAAACAAGTGGCAATATATATATATATATATATATATATATATATATATATATATATATATATATATATATATATATATATATAATCATTAATGGCATTTTAAGTACTGCATAGTCTATTTGGAAAATGTTATTCTTTTGCTGGAGAGTATGTTTATGGATTAACAAACCTGACAAGGAATGGAGTTGCTGACTTGTGGTATGAAGCTTGTACGTTTAAATTTTAACTTATGGACTTGTATGACTTGCTTGATTGAGCAGTGACAACACTACATGCAGTACAGGTATATTATACTAACTTGTAAATATTCTACATTGAAGAGAATGTTAACCTTTTATGTGGCAATGGGCTCTACCTTATTATTTTTTCTGTCTAATGCCAGACAATTTTACTCATGAAGGAGAGAGTGTTGCCACTCAATGGGTTCAAGCCAAATTTCTGTAGATGAAAATTTTGAACAATAACTATGTAATAAGTACTGTGCCGGGAATGGAAACTATTGCCCTGTGATTCTGAACAGTTCCTTAACAGCCGAGAGTCCATTAAGCTCTGAGAGTCCAAGCGCCAAGAATCCATCAAGCTAACCAAGAGTTCATTTATACAATACTAGTGTCATCCCAACCTCGTACCCAGGCTCTTACCTTCGCACGCCCCAAGCTGCGGAAAGACCCTGGGGCCGGCTGGTCACGTGGCTCCCAGGATATTAAATTACCAAGGGAGGGATGGACAAATATAAATTACAATGCTTCCACTTTGCAATAGTAAAATTCGTTGGCAAGGAGCGGACGTATTGGTTTGAATTGCAAAAAGTGTAATTTGAGATAGCCTGAATACAGACCTTCGTTTTGCTCGCCCTAAAATTCGCGGGTGGGAGGCGCAAAACGAAGGTCTGATGAAAATCGTGTCAAAACGCTCTACCGCCCACTTTGTTGCCTGAAATAATAAACAAATTTGATTGACACATATATGCCTAAAAATAGAATTAAATTTGTCGATATAAATAAACACTTACTCGAACATGTCTGACATGTCTTCAGAGTGTGCATTTTGTTTCACAAGTTTTAAGGTTCGTGGTACTTTCAACCCAAGTGTTCCGCTTTTTAGTGCCACCAGCAATAAAGAAATTACTTCTTTATTAAAATTGGTGCACACAGATAATATTACGCTGTGTGTTCTTTTATCTAATAATAAATAATTGTCAAGGATCTCATCGCAGGGAAAGTATTTCAGCATAAACCTGGAAGGAAAGGATACAATTCTTTTCAAAACTTTAAGAAAGATGTTACTGGCAGTGACTATCGTGACTTTCTTGCCTGGGCAAGAAATACAATAAAACACTGGGAAGGAATTTACCAGTCACCACAACATAAAAGGCACTAAGTGTCATACATCGTAATACCTTAATTAACAAGGTCATTCCAAAATTGATCCAATTTACATTCACAGTCTGGAAATAGGAAGTTACAACCCCATTTGACAGCCTCTTCAGTTGGCATCTCTAATCGCATTTATCAATGTTACAGCCTGAGTGTACAATATTTAAACCAAGCCCAACTATAAACCATTGATAACAGATGCCTGCATAAGAGCCTACCAACTTAACTTTTTGAGAAATAATTCCCTCCTGATCTAGACAACTGAACAAGAATGTCTGGCTTAGCTGTTCTTGTAGTATGGAGTAATATGGTAATATACAGTAGGAAAAATAAGTCACCCTCATTGGTTTAATGTAGTAAAAAAGTAAAACAGTTGAGTTTTCCCACTTTCAATACAAAATATAAATTTACTTGAACATATTAATAGATTTTTTACCTCCCTATCTACATCAAATCAAAGGGGGAAGTGTTCTTTTCCCACCCTACATATACAAAAACACATACATTATAACCATTCTTCTGATAAATGGAATGTTTCATCCAGGGAAGTTCCACTTAATTCATCGTCAACCAATGGCCCATTCAGCTTTAGATTTCCAATTAATTGATTCATTAAGGACTCTGTCTCCAGTGATGTACTGTATATTTCATCAGGAATTTCAATGTCACTAAACATTTCTCCCATAACCTCAAGAATCATTATCAGAAGGTTTATCGATGAAAATGGACAGTATTTCCATAAGTCAGTAAACCTAGATATGTTGTTTGCAATTATCTACGTTTGGATTGTGTAAGTATCTAGACCAAACAAATGTGAACCATCACAGTTCAGTACAGCCACAGGTGATTGTGATCTTAAACTGCCTTGTAATTCTTCCAGTGCATTTTTTAAACATTTTTTGTCATCCTCTGACAAAGTACGAATAGGTGTTACCTGAATGTCCTCTTCAATTGATGCGTTGTCAAACTTAAACAATGGCACATTGCACATGTCTCCATGACATTTGCAAATCATATGACAAGTATTGCAGCATGCATGCAAAGGCACATTAGGTTGAATATCTTTATCAAAATGAGATAATAGGGCTTGCCGCACACATGACTTCTCACCAGATTTGATAGCATGTTTTACTTGCTTCTCACAGTTTCGTATGTGCTTTCGAAGATACATTATAATATTAAAAGCTTCTGAACCATCACGGCCAGCCCTTCCAGCTTCTTGTAACTGACTACTTAATGACTTAGATGGTCCAAAGTGAATAACATATTTCACATTAGGAAAGTCAACACCCATACTTAGTGAGGATGAAGCAATTGCAACTCGTGTACATCCATCTCCTTCAAATGATGTAGTAACAGTGTCTTTGAGACTCTGTGGAGTTTGAGAGTAATACACACCTACCAAAGAAGACTGTTGTTCAGGTGTGTTCCCTCTGACATAAAAATTTGAACTGCCAAGTTGCATTAGAAGGTAACTCATAATGAAAACAATGTCATTGACAACCTGGCAAAAAATTAGCGTAAATGGTGTGTGTTCTTTCTTGTCTCTAATCATTTCTACCAACCAATTTAAACAGTTTAAATGTTTGTCAGCCTTAATAATAGTAAAACGAATGTTGTTCTTGTTGGGACTAACAATTATTCTAAAGTGCTCTCCTGGAAAGCCAATAAATTTTGCCAGCCTTTTCCTCATGTCTTCACCAGCAGTTGCTGTGAGAGCAAGAGCTGGTGTCCCCCCAGGCAAAAAGGACCTAAGCTCAGACACTCTGCTAAATGCCTCTCTGAATGCTGCTTGACCTTTTCGACTTGTTCCCCTAGTAAAAGACAAGAAGGTGGTAAGTTATACATAGCATAAGCAGAATGTAGTGATATATATCATGCTATTAAAAAGAGATATGGCAAAAGGGAGAAAATTCCACATGAGTGCATATTGCAGTATACTAGGACCTAGTGTGCTCTATTTATAGAGCCTCTATTTATAAGGCCTAGTAGGCCAATTATTTCCAATTCATCCTGCAATAACAAATTTGTTCTTCGAAAATTTCGAAAGAAATTTTCGACCTACCATGTCTCGACAGTATGGACTTCGTCTATTACCAACACTTGAACGTTTCCTAATGTTTCCCAAAGTTTCCTAACCTTGCTTCAATTTATTAGCCCACATATCCGATAGCCATTGTTCAGCACTTCCGTATAACACTTGGGCAAATCCTTCTGAACATAAACCATGTGTTTCACTTAACGAATTGCCAAGAAACGCTGCACGAACTCCTATTCGTTTCAAACGTTCCACTTGTTGTACGCGGATGTATTCCAGTGGACTAACAACAATCACAACATTATTATCATCACATTGATCCGATTCCAAGCGATTCATTTCGGAGAAAACAAATGGTAATACCTCGTATATAAGGCTCTTACCATAACCAGTTGGCAAAACACTGAAACAGCAAACACATCCTCGCGATCTACGACAAGTTTTCTGACACACGCTTTTTGCTCTTGTTTTAAAGAACAATATTTGAACTTAGTTAAAGACAAGGCCAATGCTTTATCAAACAATACGTCCTTCTGCATTTCCAAACCCAATAAATTACTTAAAATAAAAAGCCAGCAACACTCACACTGTTTACAAACTACAAGTATAAATTCCAAACATGTTCTCGTATTACTGATTTAGTATTAAAATATATCATAATTATCATTGTTACCTTGGCCGATCTTATTCTTTCATGTAAGCGACCGACCAATCAAACACCTTATCGGCGAGTATTATCCAATCAGCTATTCCGACCGCCTGGCGGTCGGATTCCACAGCGTTTTGACACGATTTTCATCAGACCTACGTTTCGCCCTTTCCATCGACCCGCGAATTTTAGGGCGGGCGAAACGTAGGTCTGTTTTCAGGCTAAATTTGAGAGCACTATATATCGCAATTTGTCAATTTGTATTGAATATTTCGAGGAATACTTCTTGTCAAATTGACAATTATGCGCGCATTTGTGTTCTTTTTGTCATTCACATGCTGCCAGGCCATAGAAGCAAAGTTGATAATTTCAACGGAAACTCGAACGAAGATGCTCGAGGATGCTCGAGTTTCATTGCATTTCTTGCTTGTTGGAATTCGTTGTTCTAAATAGCGCATTTCATAACAACATACTGTACTAAAGCCGAAGCAACTAAGCAAGTTCTTTGTTTGGAAAGTATTTGTTTATTTATTCAATTTCGCCAGGTTAAATTACACGATTGATAACATCGTGTTCAAACTTCGACAAGAGTTGCAATTTAAACATACAGATCTCCGTGTTCTTGGGTCCTGCATCAAAACAACTGTGCAGGGCTTTCAAATAATACTGTCGTAAAGCACACGAGCAAATTTTATTTTGGCAAATTTTATTTGATCAAATGCATTTGATCAAATTAAATGCATTTGTCACAATAAATTTGTCACAAATTTATCATCTACACGAGCAAAATATCTTTGACGTTCAATTTGCCCGTGTAAGCGGGCCTTAACAAACTCTTAAATGTACTTAAGCATATATTATTTATTCGACAAAAGATGTTATTTATAATTTGTATCCTGCCAACGCTTTATATGGAAAGTCTCTGATTTTCATCTGACCCATTGTTGATGTTTGAAAGGGATCATATTTAATAAACAAGTCGATTTTCTTTCTCCATGGAAATCATTTGAGATATCTACTCAGGACGGTTCGTGTATTGTTATAGTTGTGTCTCCCTTGAATTCACTGATACAAGATCAAATATCTCCACTGAAATCAAGTGGCCTTCGCGTGTCTGCCGTTCTATAAATATTCGCAAAAAATATTCCATGGAGAAATCACAATTGGATTGTACATTTTGGGTTTAAATGGGGATTACTAACATACGTATACGGATGACTATATTATTAATTGCGGTAAAGTATATTGGTAGATGATATTCATAAACAATTGACTTACTTCTGTTGACATGGGTAAAGGTGTAGCAGATCTAGTTTCATCACTCGAGGAGGACACATTGACAAAGTCAGTGTAAAAGCCAAACTGCGCCTTCGACTTTCAACTGCAGCAACATTTGCCGAAGATCTGGCAACGGATAGAAAAACTTCAGGGCATCGCTTGGATCGTGAATCTTTTACTAACGATTTCTGTTCGGAAATTACATTCTTGAACGTCGTTCACAAGGACGGCACTCGATCGGCAGATCAAATAAGGAAAATCATCAACATGTGGTCTCTCGCCATGAATCAACTCCGTGTTATTCAAAATTTTTTAATTTGTTTTGTTAAAGAGATTCTTACAATGTATCTGATCTTGTACACCATTATATAATCGACAACGAGAACAATTTTCAGTTGATCCAGGAGATCTTTTTGTTAAATTTCTTTGGCGTGCTTTTGCTAAGCCGATATAGTGACAGCGAAATATGAGATATTTGTAATCCTTGAGAGTAATATTATACTCTTTCGGTTGCAACACATGATTAATCTGTTGTTTTAAAATATTGTCAAGAAAAAATCTTTTATTATTGTCTCGTACAGTACAGTTAGAATTTTACTATTTTACAAATTTAGAAACAGTTTCAATACGTACAAATAATTTCTACCACCCCTCCCTGAATAGCAATTTATTTTAGCACCCAAAATCTGGGAGCCACGTAACCAGCCGGCACCAGGGTCTTTCAGCAGCTTGGGGCGTGCGTATGTAAGAGCCTGGGTACGAGGTTGAATACAGAGGTACTTCGGCGAGATTTACAAGTTTTGGACCATATTTTAACAATGGAAATCAAAACCCATTTTATATTGAACTTACCCGGACCGAAAATTACTACGGCGAACGTCTGCGCAACCAGGCCTCCTTTACCGTTGGATTTACAGGGGGGGGGGATGCCACTGATATATTCACGATAATATTTCGAATTAAAGTATCATATTCTACCATACTTTCCAACAAAGAGCCGCTGTATATTACTTCTTCCTTAAATTTCTTCAATCTCCGTCGTTTAATTTTCTTTTCTTCGAGAACATCTCGAGTTTTATACAGTATCCGATCGAAGGAGTTTTTATTTTGAATATCAAATTTCAAATAATGTAAACAGTCGCTACGCGGCCGCGATTGGCTGGCTGTTCCCGGAACTATCTGCCCCCCCTGTAAATCCAACGGTAAAGAAGGCCTGGTTGCGCAGACGTTCGCCGTAGTAATTTTCGGTCCGGGTAAGTTCAATATAAAATGGGTTTTGATTTCCATTGTTAATTAAAATATGGTCCAAAACTTGTACATCTCGCCGAAGTACCTCTGTATTTTCGAAGAACGGCATTTGTTGTACATGCTGGCGAATTTGTTTGGAGAATAAAGCGATTTAAGTGAGAAAATGTTCGATTCGAAGTGCTGTGCCGTCGTATCGACAATCGGGAATCGTTAGCCTTTATCATGTTTCATGTATACTAGTAACATCGAGCACAAAGTCTTGGAAAATATTAGTTCAACAAAGGAGGAATAAAAGGAGAACACACACTATCGAATAGGCAAGTCAATTTCATTTTAAAATTTATATTTTACGACATATTTTTACTATAATATACATTAATATAATATACATTCATACTATATAAAGTCTATACTGACCCTTGCGAGATTGGGCCGCCTGTGGTTTTGCCTGTATTTTCTGAACATATTATGTTAAAGGCTGATTTCCACTGTTGCGTTTTTCATACGTACGTATACGCACGTAAAACTTTAAATCCGTTTAAATGTTACTTATGAAATAACCAAATAAACAAAGCAGCAGAATTTAGTGTTCCGCAAGTTTTAGTATGCATTTGTTAACTTATTTGTAAAATATTTAAAAAATAGAAGGATTCAAAGTTTTACGTGCGTATACGTACGTATGAAAAACGCGACAGTGGAAATCAGCCTTAAGGCCATAGAAAAAAATAGTTGGTTAGGGTCCTTAGATTTTGCCAAAAAGTGGGCGGGGGGGGGCGCAATTTTTTTAATTTTTACTAATTTTTAACGCCTTGGTTTTAGATCCGGCACTGGATTTTCTTGCGCAGTACAGATATTTTTTTATATATTTCAAATTATGATTCTTACCGTCATTTTCGCATACAATTTCGCAACTTATTAACACAGTTGACTACAGTCAGCAGAAATACTAGGGCTTAACTCGTACTCGTACTCGGTCTCAAGCAATCATGCATTGCGAGATGGCCTTCTCTCATACGCCAAACATATTGGCAACTTTGTTTAAAATCCAAATTCAGTAGCTACTCGTGCTCGGTCTCAAGCAATCCAGCATTGCGAGATGCCCTTCTCTCATACGCCAAACACATTGGCAACTTGGTTTAAAGTTCAAATTCAGTAGCTACTCGTGCTCGGTCTCAAGCAATCTGGCATTGCGAGATGTCTTTCTCTCATACGCCAAACACATTGGCAACGTTGTCTAAAAGCCAAATTCAGTGGCTACCCGTGCTCGGTCTCAAGCAATCTAGCATTGCGAGATGCACGTCTCTCATGCGCCAAACCCATTGGCAACTTTGTTTAAAATCCAAATTCAGTAGCTACTCGTGCTAGGTCTCAAGCAATCTGGCATTGCGAAATGCACGTCTCTCATGCGCCAAACCCACTGGCAACTGTGTTTAAAATCCAAATTCAGTAGCTACTCTTGCTAGGTCTCAAGCAATCTGGCATTGCGAGATGCACTTCTCTCATACGCCAAACCCATTGGCAACTTTGTTTAAAATCCAAATTCAGTAGCTACTGGTGCTAGGTCTCAAGCAATCTAGCATTGCGAAATGCACATCTCTCGTACGGCAAACACACTGACAACTTTGTTTAAAATCCAAGTCAGTATGTACCCGTGCGCGGTCTCACGCACTCTGGCATTGCGAGATGCACTTCTAGCATACGCCAACTCATTGGCAACTTTGTCAGTAAAATCCAAGTTCAGTAGCTACCCGTGCGCGGTCTCACGCACTCTGGCATTGCGAGATGCACTTCTAGCATACGCCAACTCATTGGCAACTTTGTCAGTAAAATCCAAGTTCAGTAGCTACCCGTGCGCGGTCCCAAGCAAACATGAATTGCGAGATGCAACCCTCTCATACGCCAAAGACATTGACAACTTTGTTTAAAATCCAAATTCAGTCGCGATATACCCGTGCTCGGTCTCAAGAAATTATGCACTTGCGAGATGCACTTCTCTTACACGCCAAACACATTGGCAACGTTGGTTAAAATCCAAATTAGGTAGCGACTCGGGCTCGGTCGCAAGCAATCATGCAATTGCGAGAGAAACTTCTCTCATACGCCAAACCCATTGGCAACTGCTAAATTCATAGTAGGATTTGTGCTCGGTCGCAAGCAAGCAAATATGTATTGCGAGATGCCCTTCGGTCATACGGCAAGCAAATATGCAATAAACTACGGAAGCTCGGAATGAAGCAATCATTCAGTGCAATTCGCTCCCGTCCCATACCATGCGAAAACACAATACCCAATAACCATTTTATTAAAGGCGAAAGGTAATCACTATAGCCTAGCTATTTTGCTTTTCAACAATTTAATCTTGCAAAATACACGACCCGCTCGCGTAGAACATTAACAAAATTAACAATGCTAAAACCAGACGGGAATCATTCATGCGTCGCAATCTCAACTGAACTAAAATAACCCAAAGCGAACTTGACGGTAAATAACCCCGCACAAGGACGGAAATACACATCAAATGAAGATATAATGTGTAACATACAAAAAAACTGTATTACTGTAACTAAAACCACAAGTGTAAGCGATCCTTAAACACACACAGAAAAGAGCTGGCGGCCGTATTTTCCGATCAGCCGCCCACGAGTGAACCATGCATGCATGCGTTATATGACGAAAAATAACTTCGCCACACCGATCATATACTGCTAACAAAGCGATATAACTACCCAAAGGGCAAAAATCTTAACTAGACCCGCAAGAAAAAACACGCTACAATACCGACAAATACCAATATATATGAATAAAAGAATCACGTCCAAGTCCAAGTTTGATGCCTGAAGCTGTTCATTTTCAATTGGATCATTCACCGGCGAAACTGGTTCATTCTTAGGCGGAGCGGAATCAAGATCAATCGGTTGGGCAACAGCATTAAGTCGCAAGTACCGCTTCTTGTAAACGTGCAAGGAGGTCGAACAGGCGTGGAGCCATACGGTAAAGTCTGTAAATTTCTTTATCTTGCACTTCTCTGTTTTGGCGATCAGCACAGAGAGAGCAGTTACAACCCGTAAACTAGGGTTTTATGCATTGTACATCATTATTTATTCATAAAACAACGTTAATTACTCAAATCCATTATAGTCTAGGGCCTGTATATGAGTTTGTATGCATTTCATTTAGGACAGATAATCTCAACTGTTTTAGGGTAAGTTCACCATGACGGTCAACATGGTAACGCTGCCCGAACCCAAATCCGGAACGAAACCGACCACACCCAAAAACGACCCATCGCTACAGTGCTATCTACCAAACCATACAAGCTTTGGCTATTCTGAAGTGCTTAATGGTTCAGAGATGGCGCTTTTAGGGGTGGTCATTGGTAAGTGCAAAATGCCTAGCACTGATATTTCACAAGAAAATGACCATGCAATACTCATAGTCAAACGTCAATTTGTGGCTTACAACTTCAGATAAACAGCAGTGGACCTACATTATCTTTTTTCCTAAATATTTTTTATAGAAACATAATTGGTGCTTATTTAATTATCTTATCACTGTTTTGGTGTAAAATGGCTAATATTTTGTGACCAAAATAATAATTTCAAATGTGCCTACCTCCTGCAAATGGACGTATTTGGCCAAATTCTCCACTTTACTCCGCTGTTTATCGCAGTTCTCGTTGAAATCCTTCCAAATAGTATGCAATTCAGCTCAAATATAACGGTATCAAGCACATTTTAAACAAGTTCTAACTGGGTTTCAAGTACATCCTACCTGTTTAACCATCGACAAGGTAAAATCTCAACTTTGTCCAAATTCGGCGCCATTTTGTCATTCCGTTCGGTTGTGCACATTTCGGACTCGTTCTTCTTCCATCGAAGCCTTACAAGAAGTGATAATGACAAATTTAACCCTTTGTTAAATTAAGTGTATTAAAATTAAAATACAATAAAAAAATGCGAAATGCAGCATTTTATCACCCTGTAAGATGTTGCTTACGAGTCTTTCAAAACATTCCGTACAAATGAGGTGCACATACAAGGTTATGAAATTGTTCGCCGCGATAGATACTTAAACGGTAGATGCGGTGGTGGTGTTTGTTTTTATATACGAAGTTGCATTAATTTTTCGGTACGATACAATTTGAAATTTGATGAATTGGAAAAATCTGATGATGAAATTTGATAAATTGGAAAATTCGGTCGTGGATAAGTTTAATCACCTAGAAACGCTACTAGGCAAACTTGATGCTGAAAATATTGAGTACTATCTGGTGGGTGACTTGAATTGTGATTTAAGCTCTACAGTCTTGGATCATAGTTCAAGGTTGCTCATTGATATTCCTGAAACATTTGATCTTCAACAACTGATAACTGAACAAACTCGAATTACAAGTTCATCGTCAACATTGATAGATCACATTTTTACAAACGCTCCTGATAGAGTGGTCTGCTCTGGTGTTTCTCACATTAGTATAAGTGATCATAGTCTTGTTTATGCCTTTAGAAAACTTTCCGCCAGAATGCCGACAAGAGGACATACTACAGTAAGCTATAGAAAGTTTAAAGACTTTCATTGTGCCAAATTTCGTAATGATATTAGTCAGCAAAACTGGGACTTTATCCATCAATTTAAGAATCCTAATGATATGTGGCATACTTGGAAAAACACATCTAATTTTGTTGTAGAAAAGCATGCTCCTTTTCGCACAAAGCGTGTCAAGGCCTCTAAAGCGCCTTGGATTTCATCTCACTTGAAAGGTGAAATGCACAAAAGAGATATTCTTAAAATCAAGGCAATCCGGTCTAATGATCCTTTAGATTGGCATATTTTTAAGAAAATGCGAAATTCCGTAAATCAAAATATTGCCCGGGCGAAGGAAAACTATTTTAAACGTGCGTTTTCTGAAAATAAATCCAACTCGAAAAAGACCTGGAATATTATTAATGATCTCACATCTAAAAATCGAAAAATCTCGCATATTCACGAAGTTGATTTGGATGGTTATTTGATTAACGATTCCAACAAAATTGCTGATGCTCTTAATGAACACTTCTCTAACATTGGTCCGAAGCTTGCAGATAATGCAGATGTTAATCAGAATAATCGTTGTTATCTCGATTATTTACCTAGTCAAAATAACAACATCCGTCTTCAATTAAAAGAAACTAATTTCTCTACAGTTTTCGTCCTTTTGTCCCAAGCTAAGTAGGTCAAAAGCTACTGGTCTGGACAAAATTTCGTCCCGCCTACTTCGAGAGTGCCCTGATTTAATAGCGGAATCTCTTAGCTACATTTTTAATTGATCAATTGTCTCCGGAGTATCGTGAATTCGCCTCCCGAGTGTCCACGATAAGTCACAAAATGTTAATGCTAACTCACAATTGTATAATCCTTTAATAAATCTCAAACTTTAACAAACAAAATCAACTCTCTCACGTTTAACGTTTTAGTACGTTTTTCCCGTCGCCATCTTTGAACCATTACATGTTTACTTACATAACGTACTTTTATCGTCTAGGCCGCGAACGGGCAATTTATCCATATCTATCCTTATTTATCCCTACACCGGTAAATCTCCAACACCCTCCCCCCATTTATCTTAGGAGGAGATAAATGTTCATGTTGTTCAAAGTTTCAATGTTCCTCAGTGTTCTTCACGGTCGTTCTTGGTCACTTCTCTTATACGTTCACGTGCGGCG